CTTCTATATAGAGTATCATGTCATCTGCAAATAATGACAATTTGACTTCTTCATTTCCTATCTTTATTCCTTTTATTTCTTTCTCTTGTGTAATTCCCATGGCTAATGTTTCCAGAACTATATTGAACAAGAGTGGTGATAGTGGACATCCTTGTCTTGTTCCTTATTTTTGTGTGAAGGATTTGTTTTTGTCCATTTAGTATGACATTGGCTATTGGTTTTTCATAGATGGCTTTTATCAGTGTGAGGTAGAGACCATCTATTCCAATTTTTTGTAGGGTTTTTATCATAAATGCATGTTAGATTTTGTCAAAGGCTTTTTCTGCATCTATGGAGATAATCATATGATTTTTGTCCTTGGCTTTATTGATATAGTGTATTACATTGATTTATTTGCATATATATTATATATATTATATATTATATTATAATATATTTGCATATAGCTATTATTTCTTTTTACATGTCACTTTTGCATTAAACCATTAGCTTGAGGTCAGGGACCAGATCTCATTTATCTTTGTATTTGCAGTGTTTGTGGATATGGCAGACATCAGTAAATGTTTACTGAATCAATGTATAGGAGAAGGAAAAAAGTTAATTAATACAAAAAAAAATTCAACTTTACTATTTTCACAAACCACCATTGTCAAGTGGGTAAAATGTATTTTAACAGAGTACCTGTGTTGGCAAGGCTGCAGGAAAGTAAATACTTCAGAAAACAGTTTTCTATTCTATACCTAATTCCCTTCAATCCCATTTCATATTCTTTCCATTTCTTATTTTTCAATAACACTATAGATTAAATTGCTTTTTTGGGTGCTCATTTTTCTTTAATCTATTTTTACAGTTGAAATTTTAAAATTGATTAGCATATATTTTAAATTATTTTTCATGTGCTAATAATTTTCTTACCATAGACTTTTTACTGCTGATTTGGAAATAATAATCAAAGGGGTGTAGAGGTAAGGGTAAAATTGCTACATTGCAGAGCAGAAAACAGACAACTAATAGACATGAACCTTAAAAGTCCCTCAACTCTTTCCCCAAAAGGAGTAGTGTGTCCCTGGAAACTTTCTTCATTATGCCACCTCTCCTGTCCCTCCTTCAGTCATGAACGAGGCACTCCCTCTCTTGTTTTTCTCATCTCCAGACTTTCTCACCTTCTTTCTCCAGGGCTATACCCAGAAATTCAAATTTTCTTCTGTTTTATTAAGCCAAATAATTCAGTGTTCTCTTTACCCTGGAATCCAGCCTACCCTGGGCATGTCCTCACAGCTTCTTAAAATAACTAAAATGCTCTGTTAAATTTTTAAATGCCACATGATCTGACCATATTAACAAAACTTAAAAACTTACATTGGGAGATCTTTTCTTTTTGGATGTGATGCAACATTCAAAAACATAGTAGGCTCAATATTTCTTTGAAGAGGTTTTAACTAAAGAAAAATGTAAGCATATTTTTTAGCACTCTTTGATTATAATTTATCCACCAGGATTACGGGATAGCTCTTAAATGACACATGTAAGAAAAGGAATGAAGAGAGGAACTAAATTTATTGGGTACTAAATATTTACCAAGCATTTATATCTTCAATCTTATTTAATCCTCTCAACCTATGAAGTAGGTAACTATGCCTATTTTACAGTGATTGTAAAGATCAGTGGTTTGTTCAAGATTGGACAGTAGGTGTGAGAGCCAGGATGTGAATGCAGATTTTTCTGCCCCAAACGTGGTGCTCATTTTACAGGATCACAATAGGTAAGTAGGGGACTATGTCACTGAAAGGTTGATAGGCATAAAATTACACTGAACTTTTTTCAATCACATTAAACTTCTTTTCCATGCAATACCTTTGCTCCTGATTTTAGCTGAATTACCTAAATAAAACACTTGCCCAGTTTTATCTTAAAAAGATCTACCTCCTTAAGAATGGCTATGTTTACATGTTACAGTTATATTTGGACACAAAATTTACCTCTGAAGTTGATGCTCATAAGCTATGACTGGCACAAAAAGGGCTGAACAATTAGGGGTTCCTATAAGGCCTAATTCATCATAAGAAAATACACAGAAGAAAAAGAAAAATCAAGACAGAAAAGTGAAAAAGAAAAGCTTGTTCCCTGTAACTTTCATCTGTATATTACTTATTGCTGTCCCAAAACGTATTAAAATTATTATACAGTAAAACGTTGGCTTGTAAGTGCCTTGTTCTGCATGTATTCCACAAGATGAATATTTCTAATGAATTTTAACTTAATAAATGAGAGATGTCTTGAAATACAAGTAGTACGTGATGCCAAATGTCATATGATCACACCTGAGCCAATGGTTCTCCCCCCGCCCCCCCCCCGATGGTGGGCGATTTTCTCTCATGCTCAGATGCTCAGTCTCAGGCTGTGGTGTTTGGCAGAAGTCAGAGACTTTTCAGAACATTGGGAGGTGCCCACAACTGGTGTATTTTTTTCACTTCAAAGCACCTCTGGATAGTCCTTTGCTTTTCCATACCAGAATTAGCTTAGGAATGCTCTGCTTCATTCTAGGTCAGGCTGCCCACCGATACAGACACTTTCCTCTGGTGCCTTATTGTCAGTTATATTAAATACAGTATATGAAAAGTTTATTAATATTGTACTGTAGTCAACATTCATGGGAACAGATACACAATGGCCTCTGTACAGAAAAAAGTTGAAAAGAAAGGCAATAAGGAGGAGGAGATGATTATAGTGGAAGTTAAGAAGGAAATCATTGAGAAGTACAATTGGAAACCAAGATTTTATAAGTCTATGTTGACCATTTGTACAATGTTAAAGAAGAAGGAAAAAATGAAGGGGCTAGATGCAGCAAAAGGAGTCATCAGAGTATCAAAGCAACAGCCACATGTTCTGGAAGATGTAGAAAAGATGCTTCTAGTCTGGATAAACAAGAACTAACTAGCAGGTGATACTGTGCCTGGGAACATCATCTGTGAAAAGGCAAAAGCCTTGTACACTGACTTCATAAATAAACTGTCAGGTATGTCAACAGAAAATGAAGAAGTCTTCAAGGCAAGCATTTGATAACTTTAAGAGGAGAATTGACATTCATAGTGTTATGAGGCACAGAGGCTGTGAGTTCAGGTCCCAAAGCACTGAGGCATTTACTATGGAGTTCCAGAAGCTCATGGCTTCCAAGTGTTACCTTCCGGAACAAGTTTTTAACTGCAACAAGATGGGGCTGTTTTGGAAAAAGATGCCAAAGAGAACTTACATTACTGAAGAAAATGCAATGCCCAATCACAAGGCCATGAAAAACCATTTTACCCTCTTGTGCTAATGCAAGCAGGGATTTTGAAGTCAAGCCCTTTAACATGTGTATCATTCTGAGAATCCCTAAGCCTTCAAGAAACGCAAGGTGCAGAAGAGCCAGTTAAACATTATGTGGAGGTCCAACAGCAAGGCTTGAGTCATTGGTATCTTATTTGTTGAGTGGGTCAATGAAGTCTTCAGTCCTGCTGTAAAGAAATATCTTTCAGAAAAGAATCTGCCATTCAAAGCTTTGTTGGTTATGAATAATGCTTCTTTTTATCCTCCAGGACTTGAGGACATCTTACTAGAGGAATTCAGGTTCATTAAGGTCAAGGTTCTTCCCTCCAACACCACTCCAATCTTCCAGCCCATGGATCAGCAGGTCATTTAGAACTTTGAAAAGCTTTACACCAAAGCACTATTTCAGTGATGCTTTGAGGCGACCAAAGAAACAAATCTTACCCTCTGAGTGTTTTGGAAAAATCATTTCCACATCGTGAATTGCCTCAAGATTATCAATAAAGCCTGGAATGGGGTCACCAACAGAATGCTCAATTCTGTTAGGAGAAAACTGTGGCTTGATTGCATTCTTGGACAGGACTTAGAGGAGCTTGCTCACAAACAAGAGCCGCCAATTGTCAATGAAATTGAGTCCTTAGGGGCGACCATTGGACTGGAGGCAAATAAGGAAAACACTCAAGAGCTGGTGAAGGGACATGGCCAGGAGATGACTAATGATAAACTGATAGATCTTCATCATGAGCAACAGCAAGAGATTATGGAGATCTCATCTGCAGAGAAGGAGAAGAAAAAGGTGGAGGAACCTCTCACTTCAAATGAGATTAGAGAGATGTGTAAAATGTGGGAAACTGCAAAATCTTGTAGAAAAGCACCACCTGAATAAGGCTGTAGCAGTGCAATCAATCAATCTGTTTAATGACAATGCAATGTCACATTTCTGTGAAATCCTCAAAAGGAGGCAAAAGCAAGTGTCATTGGATAGATTTCTTGTTAAAGTTGCATGAAAAGAAAACATTCCACTGAGTCAATAAATAGCAGTGATTCATTCCTTCAGTGATTTCATAAAATAACCTTCTCCTCTCATCTCTCTCACACCTGCCACGAAGATTTTCAAAGCTAAGTGTAGGTTAATTTGTTTATTTTTCTTTATATTTTGTATTTTCTTTATTATATTATACTGTAGTACTATAATCATTTTTATAGGAATATTTTTGAGTTGTAGAATGAATTATCTGAGTTTCCATTATTTCTTATGAGGAAATTTGCTTTGATATACAAAGTGCTTTGGATTACAAGCATCTTTCTGGAATGAATTATGTTCACAAACAAAGGTTTCATTGTACAATAAGCTAATTTTTAAAATATATTATAGGAATTCATCAGTTAGTACAACAGTAAATTTATTTAATAAAACTAATGTCCCTATCCTCAATTACTAATTTAAAAACACTCCAAAACTATTAATAAAAATAGTAAAAATTTGAAATGAAAGGTTATATACAAAGTGTAGAGATTATTTTCCCTACATTGTGACAACACTAATGAGACTAAATTTTTAAATGTCCCCAGATAGTGATAATACCCAGGTATATGAGAGTTCAACCACTTGAGAGTATTCACGTGTACAATTCTCTAGAACAAATCCTGGAAAGGATCATTGTTTTGGACAATAATATCCTTTATAGGAATCTAGCCTAAGGATGTAATGAAAAAGGACAGAGATTAGTATATAAAAACATTTATGGATAACAAGAATATATAGTAGTAGAAAAATAAAGGGGCAAGCCATAGCTAGGAATATAACTTCTTTGAGTATACTATTGTCTTGATGAATCAAAGACGGTTCAAATGACACAAGATGTTAAAAATAAGCATTTGGGAAAAGTCAGAGTACAAAATATCTAAATAACATCTAGCGCTGCACTTTTAATAAGTATTTTTAGATGTAAAAATCCACTTTGTTTTTGAATACTTAAAACAATTTTTAGTTATATAAATATGTGTAGACGTAATATAAAAGCAACATTTCGAATGAAAGATCATCATGTGAAAATGTACAACTAAATAACAGTAAAAATCTCATTACTCTAGGCTGAAGAAAATATCACATGCCTCAAAATGAGAAGGTGGGGCAGCATTCTTTTAAGAACACTTATTTTAAAGAAGTTATCAAACTGCAAAAAATAGCTCAAAATGGAATAATGTGGCTGAAAAGCTAAAGTAGAATAATGTTTTAAAAGAGAACTAACCTGATGTGAAAATCCGTAACCAAAGGATCCATAGGCAAACATAAGTTCCACATCCAACCTGCAGACACACTAAACACGTGACAAACTTATTTTGTTTCATCACAATGAAATTTTACTGGAACAGTGATAGCAAGAGATATTTTTATTTCCCAAATCTACATGTTAGAATGCCAAAATATGAATCTGAATCTCCTCATTGTAAACAAGAAGCATTTACACAAGGAATTCCTATTATAGAAGAATCTATTCAGTTTCTGAAATGTTACAAGCTTTTGTGTTAAAATTAACTAATACTATGTGATTAAAACATGGAAAATGTCAAAGTAGAATTGTTAATATGATTATGCTGGGAAAATGACACATATATACATATATATTCAGATACATGAATATATATATCAAACTGCACTTATGAATTTTGTACCTTTCTATATGCATGTTAATCTTTTTTATTCATAAGTTTATTGGTACATTTTAGGTACACAATATGATGACAGTCATCACTGGGATCTTGTACCTGTACATGATGTATCTTGGTTCTTATTTTTTTCCCCTTCCCCTGCCCTCCGTTCACCCCCTCCGTCCCTCCCTATTTGCAAAGACTGTTTCCATTATTTCCTTTTCTCATATTTATTCTTTTCCCTTCTTTCCTTTCCCCTACTTCTCCCACTTTTCCTTCCCCTTTGCCCCTTTTCTTTCTATTTCACATTATCTATTATATATTTTGATCCTTATTTACACTGTTTCTCACACCAGAGTGTGAAAAAAGGAATACATATTTAAAAAATTATTTACTCACATTCTTTTTCTCACTTCCACTCATTTTCAGGTAAGATTTTGATTCAGACAAGTGATCTCACCTCTGTGAACCCCGGGTTGCTTATGTGTGAAATGAAAGAGGGTGTTAGAGTTCCTTGCCCCTTTTTGGGTGTGAGACAGCAGAAGTCTGTCCAATGGAAAATCAACACATCAAGTTTCTAAGTACTTAAAAAAAAACTGAGAATTGTTGACACCCTTCAGAAATTCCCCAGTGAGAAAAGGAATGCTCCCTCAATTTAGCATTGAGGCACCAATTGGACAGCACACAGATTCCAAGGCCGTGCAGTCAAGGCAGTAGCAGGAGGCACTGCACTCTCTCACTCAGTGATTTCCAATTTTCTCTTTCACGATTTAATAGTAAGATAGAGTTTTTAAAAGGTTGGGTGGGCGAAGATTTTGTGAGCAAATGTTCAGGTTAACCCATTTTTACTAATTCAAACAGTATCTGTTAGGTAACAAAGAATATGTAGACTACAATCTATCAGAGTAAAGTTCGATGAAATGTTAAGAAATTATTACAAATGCACACACAAAAGTTAGGAAATTTCAGTAAAGTTCTTACTGTGTTTTCATTTAACATTTGTAATTCTTCAGTAAAACACATTTTCTAGAAAAAAGTAATAAATAAAATAATGAAATATAAAATTACTAATATATTTACCTGAATATTATTTAAATCATGTAACAGTAAAAATTTAAGTAGTGATTTTTCAAATGCATATATGGATCAAATAGCTAAAATACAGACAATGAATGTTCAGAAGATGAAAAACATTCCAAATATAATTAACAGAAACAAATGTTAACATTTGTATTTATGTTTTAGACAAAGTTTCTGCTAGTTAAGAGTTCCTTCCCCCTTTTCAAAGTCTCAGAGCAGGTGGCTTGCTGTCACTGTTTTTTGTTTGTTTGTTTTTTTGGTACCTGGGTTTGAACTCAGGTCCTTGCGCTTGCACAGCAGATGGCAAAATCCCTGGCTTACAGAGCTAACTCCCGGCCCTGCTGTCGTCACACTTCTTGAGGGTTCATATAAACATAAATTTACATGATAAACTGACCTCTGTTAGCACTGGGTACCTCCCTCATCCTCTGGGGGACTTCTGAGATCTTCTAAAACAAGTAAAACTTTGGGAACCTTGGTGATTATCTGTGGTCATTTCTGCTGTCCTACTAGTTATCCTACCCAATCCAATACCCCAGGAATCGCTTTCTTCCCAGCATTTTACACTATTCCCAGTTCCATGATTAACAACCTGGCACTTTTAACTGCTTCACTAAATTTTCTTTCCACCTTTCTGTTCTACCTGGGACCTGACTTTTTCTACACAATGCTTAATTACTTCCAGATCGTATTATTTCATGTGTATTTAAAAAAAGATTTCTTCTTTTTTTTTTTTTTAGTACCGAGGATTGAACTCGGGACCTTGCACTTGCGAGGCAGGCGCCAGAACCACTGAGCTAAATCCCCTGCCCAAGATTTCTTCTTTTAAACCTCATGCTATTATGTTTCAGGGACATGGGTCACTAATCCTCATTTAGTAAGAACTTTGTATCCTAAGCATATGAATTTGAAGGCATAAAATAAACAAAAGGAGTCCATCAAGTACAACGAATCACAACAAACACCAACTGGACAATGTGGTACCAAGGTGAAAAACATTGTTTTTATACATACCTGAATTACTTCATAAAGATGCACCTCAGCACTTCCTAAGAGGAGAAGATAATTTTCTGTATCACTGTATTGCACCAGTTCCAAGGAAATATTATTCCGCTTATCATCTTGATGTCTGGGAACCTCAATATCAAAATATACATGAAAGGAAGCATTAAATTTTTAGTCTGAATTTCAGATATAATTTCCAAATGCATCCATAAGCTACATTATGTGCATAACAAATTCGTAGGTTTTGTATGTCATTGAGTTCATAACTTTTCAATCTCACAGTCGCATATATCTTCAACCCTACAGTTGCATACACCTTAATATCAATAAAAATTAATATCAAGTAATCAATTGATGCCAATTATTGATATTAATCCATTAATATCAATAAAAATCTTGTTTATTAATTATGACTTTTAAAAATCACCCATTGTGCGTGTGTCTCTCTCTCTCTTTCTCTCTCTCCTCTCTCATGTCTCTCTCCTTTCTCCCTCTCCAGTACTGGGACCAAACACAGGGTCTTGCACATACTAGGCTATATTCTTTTTTTCAACTCTATAAAAAAAATTCACCTTTGAGACTACACTGAAACTATCAAAAGAAATAATCTAATGTTTAATATAAAAACCAAATAATCCAGGTAATCAAAACACAGATTATCAAAATACAGTATCTAGTATTAAAGAGTATCTAATAACTTTTTCAGTCTCTGCTCTTTAATTTTTTGATAAAATGAGTTCTATTACCTGAACTTGAAACTTTCTCCCACCTTTGTGCAATGTAGCGCAATATGATTATTATATAACATTTAAAATTTATACACACGTTTGCTATTTAGAAACGAATTTCATTCTTCCTCATTCCCAAGATTTTAAGTGCATTCTATGTTGTCTTTTACCATGGCTGATATCATAGTCTATATGTGATTTCTTAAAGTTATGTATCATTTAATTTAAAGTAGTCCCAAACTAATAATTGTCTTAGGTGCCTTAAAGTAAATACAGATCAATTCCAACATGGCTGATTAGAGAAGGACATGGATTGGGGAAGCTTGGAAGGGAGAAATACTGGATAATGCAGGTACTGTATTCTGAAAAGGGGGAAGCAAGCACACCTAGACATGGAAAATTAACCTGAGAAGACCAGTCCTCTAGATTGGACCAAATACCTGGGTTGTTGAAAAAGGGAAATAAGGACCTAGCTGGTCCTTGGCTCCCCACACACATACACACACCCTTTACTCAGCAAATATGCCATCTTGGGAGGAGTTCTAATGACCTACGAAAAGGAGACAGCACTCCAGAGGCCAAATTCTTGGGATAGGTTTCCTACAAACTCTCTTGCAACCTGGAAGAAGAAATTCAGCATGGGAGTTAACTGCAGTTAGGGCCTAGGGAAGCTGTGGACTATAACCAGGGAAAGAAAGAGCCAACAACACAAAAGCAGGAAATCCCTTCCCCTATCATCCTCCCAAACACAGGGGAACACAGTGGATAGCACCCTGCCCACCACCCACTGCCCAGTATCAAGAAAGAAAGCTCCCCAGGCCTAGGCTGAAGAAAATAGGTAAAGAAAGGTTACAAGAATTGTCTATGTAGTCATTATTAGGCTACTTCCAAACTTTCTGTTAGTGTTCAATTAAAACTTTGCTTTTAATGTGTTCAAACTAATAGTTAATATTTAAATAATTATACCAAGATTGTATTTGTTAATGAAGATAGGTACCTATTAATTTATATCACTTTCAAGTATTAATGTTTTATGCCAAGTCCTATTTGAATGGATATATATCTTCCAAATTTTAAGAGCCTGCCAATGAAGTTTAGCCAAACTATTTGGAAAGTAAAACAAAAAAGTATAAATTACTTCTACCAAAACTATGGCTTGTTTTTATTTTTGATTATTTGATCCATGCTTAAAGAACCACCTTTCATATTCAACATTTAAATAAAATTGTAAAAGCATGTGGAGCATAGAGGAAATGCTTTAGAATTTCACTAAAATCTAAATGTACTAAAAACTATTAAGAAACAATTGGACTAATCAGTGAATCCTGTAACTATATGGAATAGTGTCAGTAATTTAAAGAAAGCTTTGAGATGATTCTAATAAGCTTAACTGTAAACAGAAACATAGGAAGGTCTGACATGAAAGGCAGTTTAATGAAGTGTTGCCTGAAGGCAGACTACATACATTCCCACCTCCACCACATACTAACTCTATGATGGTAGTGAAGTTCTTTAAACACACAGTACCCCAGTTTCCTCATTTATAAAAAAAGGATGATAACAAAAGAATGTGTGTATGACATACACAGCTAGATACATGTCTTTGGGGGTATTGTTAGTCCACGTAAAAATAAGTTCAGTCTATATAAGAGTCTATATAATACAGAGGAAGAGAAAAGGATTGAGATGAAGAAAAGAAAGTGTGGAATATGTGGATGAAAAAGAAAAAATCAAGATAGAGAAAACATATCCATGATAAATACTCAAAACCACAGACAGGAACATCTCAGGAAAGGAGTTCACTAAGGTTATACATTTCCAGTTAGTAGTTTAATAAAAAATAATAAAACTGTTATAACCTATAGAGTAGAAATAATATATAATACAATAGCAAATGAAAGCACACTACTTTTTTCCTACTCATTAAAAAAAAGCACTATGGTGAAATATTTGAAATTTACAGAGATACCATTCTATCTAGAATAGAATTTTAACATTACCTGTATGGAAAAGAACTTCATTTCATCAAATTTAATTACAATATTCTTTTCATTGTTTCCAGAGAGCAAGCTAAAACTTTTTGTATATTTCACAAAGCTGTTTACGGAGATGCGAATGTACAAATTTGTGTAATGCTTTAAGTAGACTGAAAACAGAATATTTAAGAAACAAGTTTTGTTGTAATTGAACAAATAATGCATTGTAAAATTAATCCATTAAGCAATTCAGGCCAAAACCTAAAATCAATCAAGTAGATACAGAAGATAATTATAATTTATTCACAAAAAGGTCTTCTAAAATAATATTTTTATCCATGGCCACATATAAAAAGGAACAGTAGGTTTATTTTTATTTGGATCACTTATTATATTTTTATCTTCACACTTCAATCATAACTCCTTTGCAAATATTCTATACATTAATTTCAAGGTATATAGTATATAATTTTTAAATTCTAAACAATTGTATAGAAACTTTTAAAGTAAAAAATATGTCACTTGATAATATTTTAAGAAATTCAATAGAATTTAGAGCAAAGAGTTCTACTCTGTAATTTACTTCACTATATATTTAATTTATACTATATCTACTTGTATTATTATCTTTCACAGCATTAAAACAATTGTTTTCATGATTTAATTATCTTCAAAAATCTCCATAAAATTTTTTGAAAAGAAACACCAAGTCTCTGTAATGAAACTGGTTTTATATAGTAAGTCTAAACATAGCCTTCAGCTTATTTAAGGCACCAATATAAAATAAAATCTTTTAAAATGTTTAAAATGTTACATACAAACAAATTACTATTATATCCAAAAAGATACACATTTTTTTCCTTTAATTTACATGATGGAGGTAGATTTAAAAGGGCCAAACATCTTTTGTTAATTCCACATCAAAAAGTGGTGTTTATTTTCCCTGCCCTTGAATCTGAGCTGGCCTTGTGACTAACCCATAAAAGGGAAGGTGGAGGACTAAAACTGGGGCCAGGATGGGTGAGAGAGGCACTCACCTGGGCTGCAAAATCTAGGGGGACAGTAAAACGTCAGTAATCAAGATAAAAATATATTAACAGAATACATACTTTTAAAATCAAAATCAGTTCATTAAAAAACATGATGGAGTTACATGGGATGAAAGTTCCAACCACTTCAGCACTTCAGCTAAGTCCAGCCTTTAAGGCATCCTGTCTAACACATCAGATACATAGAGGAGCTGTATTCCAGTCTTACCACCGGACAACTGCAGCCTGAGCTGTGATACTGTGAAGCCTAGGAACCACTTAGTGGATGCACAGATTTAAAAAATGGTTAATCTTTTAGGTCACTAAGTTGTAGAGCAGTTTGTAATGTAGCAATGGATAACTGAAACAGGAAGATATGATCATACTATCATTTATAAACCAAAAGAAAGGATACTCATAGGCAAAAAATGTCTGCAACTCTGTATGTGAACAGCTAGGCAGCCAACCTACAATGATCAAAACAGAAACACAAATGGTGAATGCATTTTTTAAAAAGTTAACTTTTCTTCCACTTTACACTGAAATATATTTAATTTTTTAAAAAAACCCTCCACTTTGTCACATTTTTCTCATTAGAAATAGTTTCTCATTTAAAATATCTAGTTAATGGGAAGCACTAGAAAGTAGAAACACAAAAGAAAAAAGGACAGGGTGAGTTCAAATAACCCTAAAATGAATAATGATATAAGCAAAGGAATAGTTCATTATTCCCTTACCTCTGCTCATCACCATTTGAATTGTTTTTATTTTGTATTAGATAAAAACTGATAAAATATAACATTGTGCACAAGAAAGTAAATACATTTTGTTTCAGATAAGCTCTTTTATCCCTTATCCTAAAACCACTTCTTTCATTCAACAATCACTTATCGGCACTGGCTGTAATACACCAGGGGCTGTGCCATGTTCATCCTCTCTTGTACAGGTCTTTCTAAATGTTAAAGAAAACTGCACCTCTGGCTTAATCACAAAATCAAACACAAAAATGAACATCAACACTTTGATTCTTTCTTTTTATTTTTGTTTTTGAGACAGGGTCTCCCTGTGTAGGCTGGCCTCAAATTTGAGCGATCTTCAAGCAGGTGCCACTGTGCCCAGTGGGAAGCTCTGACTTAAAACTATGAAGTAAGATATTTCCCACAAATTCAATATTATTACAATGTTTTTCTGATTCACACAAATGGAAAAATTCATGAATATGTTATCAGACAAGCCATTTTCTGTAATACTTTTTTATTGCCAAGTAATAAATATTATCTATGCTTCATAACAAATCCTAAACAATTTTACAAGTTTACTGAAGGTTAGTCATACATACCACATCCCCAAATGGAACCAAAGTTGATCTCTCAGGTGCTGCATCCATTTCTTTATTCTCAGACACCGTAAGAGTTTTTCTCATCATCTACAATGTAAATAAACTACTATAAGATTTAAGTCAAGCACGGTGGCACACATCTGTAATTCCAATACTCTGGGAGGCTGAGGTAGGGAGATCAAAAGTTTGAGCCCAGCCTTGGCAATTTAAGTGACTTAAGTCACTTAAATATACACACACATACATTAGAATAAAAAGAACATAACTAGATAAAAGATTAATTCAATTCAGTAATTATTTTGTGACTACCTAGAAAGTTTCAAGTACTATAGGCAGTCAGATATAAATACCCCATCTCTAATAAATTTATCAGTAATTAAGTAGAGAAAGAACAATGTATACAATTAAATATAAAAAAGAGTAAGGGAATCATGAAAGACAAGTGCATATCAATGTGAAAAGCCATTCAATTTGTTCATAAATTCAACATACAGCAAGATATATTAAAATATGTATAGAGAGAGGAAGGAAGAGAAGCCATAACAAACACTATGGAAGAGTAGAAAGGAGTCAAGCATGAAGAAAGAAAGCATAGGCAAAATCATACTGACTCAGGTACAGTGGCGCATGCCTGTGATCCCAGCACTTGGGATTACTTCAGGCAGAAGGGTCGCCATGAGTCTGAGGCCAGCCCAGCCTACACTGTGAGTTCAAGACCAACCTGAACTACATAGTGAGACCCTGTCTCAAAAAATAAACAAAGAAATCATCCTGAACAAGAGGTTAACAAAAGTGCAAAAATTCTGACCATAGGTCTGGGACTTGGTGGCACAGCAATGGCTAAAGAAGAAAAGGACCAGAAGTTGTTTCCAACCATTACAGTGTGCCAGGAATGAGAGATGTCCTAGGACTCTGCACTTTCAGTCCCAAAATCAAGGAAAGTCCCAGGAAAATTATATTTGGTCACCTTACTTATATGAGAGACATACCTAAAGTAGTGGTTAATAAAAACATAGGTAAAGATATTCTAAATACAAAGAAAACACAAAGAAAGCAGAGGCTAATGTTAGCATAGGCTTTATGTCAAAAGCCACTGCATGAGATAAATGAGAATACTTTTTAATGCTGAAAGACATAACCTGGGATAAAGATGTAAGAGTTACAAATCTGTCTTGAGGATGCACCACCAACAAATGGAAGTATGTGTCACAAAGTTTTCATTGCAGTATGACTTGCAATTGTAAAATATTGCAAACTACCTAAAGGCTAAATGTGAGCCTGGTTGAATAAATTATAGCATATACTTACAATAGAGTACTATGCAGCTGTAAAAATAAAAGAATGGGGAAGATTTTTAAAATAGTGATTTACAAGATATATTAAATGAAAAAGCAAAATGCAACCTTTTGTGTTAGAGGGCAGAGGAAATAATATGTATGTGTACCCGAAATAATGTAGAAGAGTAAACCAAAAAGTAATTAACAAAAGAAAGATGGAGGAGAATAAGGTAAGACAGGGAATGATACTTCCTGGAGTATACATTTTATATACAGTTTAACTTTTTTTTTTTTTTGGTACCGGGGATCGAACTCAGGTCCTTGTGCTTGCGCAGCAGGTGGTGAAACCACTGAGCTAAATCCCCGGCCCCAATATGGTTTAACTTTTGAAAGTGTGTTAATGTTCTATGGACAACAAATAAAATTGGGGTGGAGGGGTTAAAAGTGGAGGGGATAAGATGGCAGGGTAGAGACTGACAGCGAAGTACAGCCTATCTAGGACCTGGAATTGAGAAACATGGAAGATAATTTGGTGAAGAGAAGGGAAAAGTGAATCTCTGGGAACTGGCAGGGAGCTGATGGGAAGACTAGAAACTGTGGAGAAGCTGGAGACAGAGCACACTGCAGAGAAAGGAAGGAGGTACTCTGGAAGCTCACTCTGGCTCCCAGGGAAGGGGCTCTGGCTACACTGGCACAGGGTAAGCCTGGAGGGTTGGCAGCTCCAAGGAAAGAGAGTAGATCAGGCTGGCAGCACTGACACCAAAAGAAGCCCATATCTATTATAAATTGCAAAATACAGTGTTTTACTCTGAATGTGACTCCTTCCACAAGGCAGGCTGGAGTTGGGGAGAAAGCCCAGTCCAGTGCCTATCATATCTGAGAGGGTTTAATCAGGAGCCATTTTGGGAAGGGGTTAATTGGGACTGAGCTGCAGAGCAGCTACAGAGCAGCTATGCTCTAGGGTTTTTAGTTTTGCTCTGCCACAGGTCTAGGTAGGAGACAGACACGGGAGATAACTCAAAGTGGGAGGGCTGGATATAGACGCCCTGAGAAATTTAAGCTTAGCAGGGAGGGATGCCGGGGCCCCACCCTCCATGGTGAGAAGCCAGGCCCAGCATGTGTGGGTTTCAGAGGCAGCTGAGTCTGAAAGTGCTGGCATTAAGGCCAGTGGTCTCTTTGCTTTCCCCACCTACCAACTGAACAAGGACATGCCTCACCTTGTACAGTTGCCACAGTCTGGGATGCACAAACAGAGGGGCCTCTGGAGCAGGCCTCCCTCAGAAACTCATAGGCCAGTGATGGTGAACCTTTTAGAGCTTTCAATGATAGCAAACAGCTGGCTGCAGTACACATGCTACAGGTTGGCCTCGGCTGCCATAGGCCATACAGCTAAGAAAAGAAAATTGTGTCTTAGGGTGCACAGAGAGATACAGAAAGTAGGTCTGCTGGAGTGACTACAGTCTTAGAGTGACACCACTGACTGCCCACACCCAGCAGGAAAGGCAGGGCAGAATCCAGCATTCACACAGAAAAATATGAGTGTGGAAACAAAATAGGTCTTAGCAGTGACTTACTAACCATTCTTTATATCTGCTGAATCCCAAGTCTGCAGACCTTGGTGTGTGTGTGGGGGGAGGATCCATTCAAAAACACAGGATTTTTTTGGATCAGTTTCTTTCATTGGGTCCTTAGGGTTTGAGTTTTTCCTCCTTTTTTTCTTCTTTTTCTTGTTTATTCTTTTCAGTTACCTTTATCTAATTCTATTAATTTCCTTTCACTCCGCAGTAGGATCCATTATCTTACTTTTCTCTCTTCCTAACTTTTAAATTTTTTTCTCAAATTTTACTTTATTTTTTTTCTTCCCATCCCCTCTATCTTTACTAGAATAGCCATAAGATTTGTTAATCTTGAGATATGTAGTTAGCTCTGTTGTTACTATTGAGTTCTTTTCTATTGTTAGTGAAGGTGTTGTTTCTGCATTTAGTAGCTATTTACTGTATGTCAATATTTGGTTTGTCTTTGTGTTTATACTATAATTATAAATCTCTTTTCCACCCTTAAGGGTGGTATATTATTAGTTCTTATGGTATGTCAAGAAACTCTTTTATTGTATTGCTGCTAATTTTGTTACTATTGCTAGAGTGGCGTAGTTAGTCCTATTAATTGATTTTCTCTGCATGCCAATACCTGGGTTGTCTTTGTGTTAACAATGCTGTGGTCCAATTCTGAAAAACTGGGCCAGTTACACTGTACCCTCTCCTCCCAAATTAATGGAGTGGGCTGGACCTTGGGACAGAGGCAAAGGCCTATAGTAAGCCAAGCTCAGATTGTGTACTGAAAAGCAGACACTAAAGAGATCTCCATACTAACAACAAAGACTTTCCAATGCAATTAACCCCCAAAGCTCAGCACAAGTGTGGGTACACGTGCACATGCACACACACGCGCGCACACACACACACACACACACACACACACACAGAGAAACCTGAGAAGTCAAGGCAACAAAATATCTCCAAAATTTCCAATTCCCTCAAAGCTGATCCAAGGGGGATTGATGGGGATGTAACCAAAAGAAATACAGCTGAATTATTCAAAATGATAAAAGGAGATTTAAAAAACAGATCAAGGGCCGGGGATTTAGCTCAGTGGTTCTGGCACCTGCCATGCAAGTGCAAGGACCCGAGTTCAATCCCTTGTACCAATAAATAAATAAGTAAATAAAAAAGTAAATAAAAAACAGATCAATAAGGTTCTCAGAGAACTCACAGAAGGTATCACTAAACAGATAATAGACTTAATAAAATAATCACTGTGTTCACAAAAGACACTAATACAGGATAGCCAAGCTATAAACAAAATGATACGAAACATGAATGAGAAGTTTAGCAAAGGATGGGAATCCATGAAAAGATAGAATAAAAATCTAAGAGATAAAAATTCTGTTGAAAGTACAGAAGTGTCCAAAGTGAGGACAAAGTGTCAGAACTACAAGATAGGGATAATGCCATTGACCATGCACTCAAAGGTAACATAACACATTCTCATTGCCCTGAACCACCAGTGGTACATGCATGACTAACCACTGGTGGTTCATGCATGACTTTCACATCAGGCTGCTTGTAGTACTGATAGTACAAAGAGATCTAATCACTTTTATTGGTCTTTTTACTGATACAATTAATAAAAAGTCTATAAATGGACTGAATCTAGTTAGTTGCTTGAATTTGAATAATTACTTCCCAGATATAAATATTAAGTAATACTACTCATATCAATTCTTAAAAGTATTACAAAAATAAAGAATTTATTCCATTAAATTGAAAAATTTACTTATATTTATGAATTTTATCAATAATTAATTCTCTAAATTTTAACATGGAAATTTACAAATATCCCCTTGCTGGTAGACAACCACTGTACCACAAATTAGCAGTATTATAATTTTTACACCATTTTAATGTTTCTCTTAAGGAACTGGAATATGATTATATCCGGTGTGCTAAATCAATGCCTTTCTTTGCATTATTATAAACAAAGACCCCTTGAGAAGCAGTACAAGGTGCTCAATGGAACAGTCATACATGTACGACTGGTGGTTCAAGCTGGCAGGAATGACTGAATTCAAATCAGGGCCACCCAGCAGCAAGACATACAAATTATAGCCTAGTCATAAATGTGTTAAAAATATAATTGAAAATATGGGTAGTTGAAGTAACCAGGTGAAGACAGAATGTCAGATCTATAAGATGGGGCTATGGTTAGTGTTCAGCAAAAGACAGATACCTTAAAAACAACAAAAGAACATTA